CACTGAACTGCAAACCGAGAGGGTTTATATCATTGGTTATAGCCTGAGGGGGAGGAACTATGCTTAGTAAATGCTACTCTGACATCAACAGTTTTCGACAAGCTGAGAAAGCGTGGGTGGGCAAAAAGAATGAAGAAATGAGACCCCCCCAGTCATAATTAGTCATGCTCATGTTCCTCTGAGCAAGGTACAAAAAAATAACCCAAGAGGTGCGGGTCATCATAAGAGGTACGTTGCATTAAAGGGATTTTGTATCAAACAGACAGCCATGGGTTAACTGATCAAAGAGGTTTTCCAGTTTAAAATATCTGATTTTGTAATCATTCCTCTTTCTCACGGCATTTAGACCTCCAAGAGTATAACTTTTGCCTCTAAAAACACTTGACGTATCATCTATTAAAACACAATCATCCCCTGAATGGATTGTGCGGCTGGATTGTTGTTTAATCAGTTGCATTGCTACAGTAATGCACCTGATTGAATTCGCATGGCTTTTACAAGCCTGGTAATTCATACCAATTAAGGTTGTGTTCATATTCAGTATATCTGTCCTTGTTTGTCTGAATGTCAATTAGTGTGAATAAAATGTTTGCTCTCTCACACTGGCGCCAGTATAGACATCAAAAAAGGAAGTGAAATATATCAATTAGTCCGAGTTATGAAAGCTGTAAAAACAATTTGTCATATTTGAGAAAGCCAAAGAAGAAATATCAGATTAATTAGAATAAAACAACGCAATGAGCTTCACAACAAGAGATTAATGCGTTGCGCAAAACTGTGACTTCATATTTGTTCACACAGTATATGCTGTGCAAATGGAGGATACAGGGTGAGTAGAGGGGGCACGTCCAGTCAGACAGCCTAATGTGATGTCAGAGGGGGAGGAGAAAAAGTGAGTAACAGCCAGCAGGGCAGGCTAATGTGCTTGATTTCATTGGGTGGTTATCATGGCAGTAGACTTCCTGGCAGACACTCTCACTAAACACCATTGTAGCAACTCTAAATGTTAAGCACATTGTTTAATAGTCCATTACGCAAATTGATATTGCTCATTGACTGTTGTCCTTGGCTGCCCACGCAGTGTCAGAGGGAAAAGACAGAGATGTACCATCGTGCCGTAGAGGGCCAACAGGGTAAGCCATCACTGTTTGATGTGCAAGAACTATGTGCCAGACCTCTCCATCTGCTCTACTTCGGCTACCACACAAATCCATCTGCTGATACTGGAGAAGTTACTATAAAATGGAACACATCTTCAACTTCCTGTAAAAAAAACAAAATAAGATATGTGATCATACCAAAAAAGAATGAAGAAGGTTGTTTTTCAAGAATTAGATGTGAATAGAGGGCATCTGAAAAAACTCAATTATTAATCCTGAGCTCCTCTGGTTTTGATTACAGTTGTGCTGCATTGCAATTATTGTGTTGCAGGTGCAATCCTGAGCTATTTAAAATGTTCTATGACTTCTTCAATATGCCACCTTGGCTTTTAGAATAATTCCTTACATCAAATAAACAAAAACAAACCAACTAAAGTAAGTGAATTATTAATTTACCATGCTAGTAGTTGCTTGTATTTGAAAATGTGAGCAACCACGGCAGAAAATCTGGATTTCACAAAGAATCTGATCTCGGTCGCAAACATAGCCATGATTTAATGATTGAAGACACGATCAAGAATATCTACCAGAGGACAAACAAAACCATGGAAAAAGAGTGTGAGCCGAGTGAAAACAGGTGTGGAGTAATCAATGCCAAATAGCATGTGTGGAGGAAAGCAAAAGCAGGTGAACAATTATGAAACATGTAAAAACAACCAACCAATCAGAACACACAGACATTACAGTTACAAGTGAAATAAACAGATCCCTGAATCTGAAACATGTTGACTTTGTTGACAAAAACTATACCTTTTACCCGTTCTGTGTGTTTGTTTTTTTCACGATGCTGCTGTGCAGATTTAGAATTTCTCCTTATTAAGTCAACAAGATGGGTTTTAGTTTACAGCGACATCTCAGCTCTTTTTTAACAAACACACACAGTGTTTGTTTTGAGGGAAATCAGTTGAACTGTGGCACCCCGCAGTAACACAAAGTGCTGCATTTCAGATAGAAGTCGAAATCTACAGGCAGATCCATGCTGATTTAGAATTAGATCACAGTGTTTAGGAACATCTACTGCATGGATAATTTAGAAGAGAATACATGCCAATGAACGATGAGAAACTGAGGTAAATATAGGGCTGAGGAGGTCGTACAGCATTTTTATACAGGACAATATATGTTTGTTTTTTCTCATTCAGCTAACCAATTGCATTTATGTGAGGAAATGCAAACTTTTTTAAGGATAGCACTGGGCTTGCATCAAATTAAATAAGACCTTCTCCTTGCAGTTGGAGAGGCATTAGGAATAAAGTTCAACTGAATGGATGGGTCATACATCATTGAGCATTATTGTGCTGTGCTGTGACTCTAAAACACAAATTGGATTACCTGTGCACCCACCCGGATCGCCTGAATTGGACAGGCAGGGGCATAAAGGCAACACAGACACAAACATAAAGGGGTACATATACTCTCATCTGTTCAATGTTCCTAATGCAAATGTTGTAAAATGTGCGAATGCACAGGCTTTTATGGAACGCGCAGTAAAGGCGGTCCACACATGTAGCACCCCTGAGAAACATTCGCACACACACACACAAATACACACTGCAATTTTTGTTCCGTGACAATAAATGCCACATTATAGTGATGTACAGTGGAAGAGCGCGTCATATAAAGGTCGGCATGATGGAATCTCTCTGTGAAGCTGCCGGCCTTGACACGGGAAATCAGATCCTAAAACTGTTTATGGTGCTTTGAAGCCAGACAGCATCCCTCTTTTCCTGTAAACAATGCACCGGAACCTCATGATTTATGAGCAAGTCATCGAATAACTCTGAATAAGCATTGGTCTGAAAGAATCCATGTCTAGACTCTGAGATTTCAATGTTTTTTTGCTCTTTTTTTTTTTTGTTCATTACAGTCCGTTGGATGAGACCTGGTCGGCTCTACTGAGGCAGAAGATTTAATGATGACTGCCAGAATTTAAAGAAAACAATCTCCAAAGGAAATGTCTTCACAAAAAAACAGGTCAGGTTCAGTGTAAACTAAAAGGCTGTTTGTGAAACTTCCGAGCAATAAAGGACACAGTGGCCGTTTCGCAGCCTCACGCTACTCTCTTCAAACACTGCAATCACATTTGGCCATTTCACCCCCAGAAGATGAGGCTGGGAGTGTTGCTAGCTGCTGGAAGAATCAGCAAATCAGAGAAAAACATTACTCAGTTCTATTTCACAGTGTAAATGATCATGTTTCTCCCAACACTTCCATGCAACCCTGTGCTAAGACCGTCCATCAGCAGACACGCAAAAGTCCCCAACAGAGCTTCAGGTGATTTGAGCAGGTCCAAAAGGCAGTATATACCGTCTAAGGCAGTTGATCGTAACCCAGAATGATTTCTTTTTTTAAGCTTGTAGTCAAGTATTTTTATCTTTATCTTTTCTCAAGTGTACAATTCATCATCAGGCAATTATAACATAGTTCAGTCAGCAAAATGAAAACTAAAATCTAATAACATAATTTACTCAGACGGGCCAATCTGTGGAATGACACTTCTCACTTATGGGATTTTAAATATGTATTCATGGCATGATATTTTTTCAGTTTGGTATTATGTTTAGATCTTTTTTTCGCATACATTTTTTGGCTGAATAAAAACACATCAATAGGAACCGATGGGCCACAGCAGCTCCAAATCAAAGCAGTGATCAGTGCTGCTGCAGCTCCTTCAGATAAACGCTTAATGATCTTGATATCTACTTCAAAAGTAATTTACCCCCTTTTGAAAATTCACGCAGTTAAGCTGAGAAATATTGATATTATGATACAGTGTGAACAAGATCTTTGGAGAAGCTGAGATGAAAAGAAACTTGGTTAAAAAATTGAGTATGTTTTTACAGAACACATGCAACTACAGCAGATGTTCCTGTTTCGCCTCCTAAACCAACACATCATTTCCCCCCATCCGTATTACCATTATCTGATTCATCACTTGATGTTCAGTTTGCATTCGGGTCAAATTTAATTCTGGATTCTACATTTTCTCTACAAAACTAAAGAAATATGCGTTAAATGTTAATTCAAAACATGGATGCAGCTGTTATTGCGCAAATTATTTCAAGCAACATTAAAAAACTGCTAGTGTAAAGTAACACTATACAGGTGACATTTTTAGCTAGGAAAACGCTTTCTAGGAAAAAAATGCGCCGATTAGTCCTATGTCAATATTAGCCGATTTTAAGACCAGAATTCTAGACTTAGACTTAGACTTAGACAGTACTTTATTGATCCCTTGGGAAGACTCCCTCAGGAAATTAAGGTTACCAGCAGCTTAAAGGGCAAACAGTGTCAAGTTAGAATCAGTTTAAGCAAAAATATACAAATAAATAAATAAAAATACAAGAAATACAGATTAAGTACAGTGTATGTGTATGTGATCTCTCTTCCCCCTGTCCTGAGCACCATAGGAGTAAGAAGTTAGGTTGGTTTAGGACAAAGTTTACCGGAGGTCCATGTCTGTAAATACTTGAGTGTATCAATAGCTTTATTTGTTAACTTTAGGATGAAACACTGGTACACGCCCAGATGCCACAGGTTGATTCGCAGCTGGTTAAGGATGCCGGCTGAAACCTGATGCTAAGAGCACCAACAGCAGCCTTTGGTCACTGTAATCCTCCCAGAATGAGATTATCTCTGTGTGGAAACAGTGAGAAGAGGGTGGGAAGGGCACTCCCAGCATCTGTGTGTCTAAGAGAGGGCAAACTGAACCCGGTCCACTAATCTCTGTACACAGACACACCTTAGAAGTTGGCATATAAGCTGTCCTCTGACTGCGTTTCAGCAGCAGGCCACGCAGGAGCAGCTAACTGTCAGGGGCATCAGCACCTTCCAAAAAAAATGGACCTTGCAGTAAGAGTTTCCTTTCTTCTGCTGGTGCTTCTGGGCTATTGTGAGGGTCAGCCTGGAGAGGTAAGAAATTACTTACAAAATGTGTGAGAGCTTTTGGACATCAGCAAGCGTCTTAATCAACACAGTGAATCTTTCAAGTACTATACAAATGAAAGTAAATGAAAAATGCAATGTGTCTTTTTTTAAATGTATTATTCATTTGGCTTTCAAAGGATCGTGGTGCTGATGATGGTAAGGGACTCCACACCCGTTCATTTACAGCTCTATGGAATAAACTATATTACATAACTCACTATCTGCCATTGGGAATCAAACTTTATAACCTCTGATTTTCTGTTTTTTCTTCAGTAAACTCGGTAGTTAAACCTGCAGAGGACATTGGCGCAACTATCCTCAGAATGAACAATGGTGAGTTTTAAGTCTTACATGGGAAGAAAATAAACACTTTTTTAAGGTTTTAAGTCTTGTCATGTCCAATGAAGGCCTTTTCTGTCTTTTTCAACTCCAAACCTCGGATAAACTGTAATGGTTTATTTCACTCTAACAGGATCAACTGAAATGCTGGTGGAAGGAGACTTGCTATTTCCAAAAACCAGGAATGCTATGAAATGCAGGAATAAACAGTATAGCTGTTTGTGGCCAAAGTCTAGGAATGGATATGTGGAAATCCCATTTACTTTAAGTGAAAAATATGGTGGGTTTGATTTTTTAAAAGGGAAGTGTAAGAGATTTTTCTTTTTATCACCTACTGAAATACTTTTGTCTACATCTCAGACACCGCTGAGACATATACAATTCTAAATGCCATGAAAGGCTTTGAGCCACAAACTTGCATTCGCTTCATTCCTCGAAGAAATGAACGAGTTTATCTGAGCATTGAACCGAAATACGGGTAAGACGCTGGCCGCTCTCTCTTACTTTTTAGGAAACTCCCCTTAAATATATATTGTAAGAGGGCACAACAATGAAAAGGAGACACATTAGACTGACTCACAGCATGGTCCATTCATACTGGTACAGACTGGAAATACCTTCATTCATATAGTGTGTACACTTGATTCCATTCCTGAGGCAATCCTTGCATTTATCTGGGTTTGGACAGGACACACCCCATTAAAGGCTACTGGGCGATGTCTTGACTAAAGAGACCTCGGCATGTGGTCCGGGATCGAACCACCGAGCCCCCCATTGCGGGGGCCTGTTTGGGGGACCATTCCCAAGCAGTCCCAAAAAAAAACAGTGGCGTAAAAAGATTCTCCAACAGATATGCAAATAGAAGATGCTTAATAGTCAACATCAAGAGCAAAGATAGCTTGAAGCGTGTCAATGTGGAGTATATATATGTCCTCTTGTCCCCCTTACATACTTCTATAAATAACCCTAACCTTCGACTACTTATTTTTACCTCTTCAACTTCCTTAGCTGTTTCTCCCTGCTGGGCCGTATCGGAGACAAGCAAGTGCTGTCACTCCAGAAGTTTGGCTGCATAGCAAATGGCGTCGTCCAGCATGAGCTGCTGCACGCCCTGGGTTTCTTCCATGAACACACTCGGAGCGACCGTGATCAATATGTCAGAATCAACTGGGACAACATCAAGAGCGGTGAGCCTCCCTGTGTAGTTTCCTGTAAGAAACTTTTTATCACATTTATCTTTCAGTGCTATTTATCGATCTTTGTTTGCCAATAGATTATTTACAGAACTTCAAAAAGATGGACACAAATAATCTTGGAACCCCGTACGACTACAGCTCAGTGATGCAATATGGACGGTAAGGCTGGCTCCAGATATTCTAATTCAAAATGGGAGAATCTACTTCCGACATCTGTTTATTTTCTTATGATGACCATCCAAATCTGCAGGACTGCCTTTGGAATATCCAGAAAGGAAACAATAACTCCCATCCCTGATCCCTCTGCTCCCATCGGCCAAAGGACAGGCTTGTCTGCCATTGACATTATCAGGATCAACAGGCTTTACAACTGCTAAAAATACTGACTTACCAAAGGTTTCATGAGACAGGATGTTAGTATGTTAGCTCTACTTGAACATAAATGGAAGTGTCAGTGTGAATGGACACATTGAGGGTTAAATCTGATCATTTAGCTTAAGTCCATTTGTTAAATTAGAGTCATATTAAGGCATTTTGCAAATCCATAACAATTCTAAAAGTAAAATTCTTCTTAATTTCTATGCTATGCTTCCCCATAATTTTTAAAGGTTGAGAAACGCCTCTTCAGCCTAACCTTATCTTTATTGTAACCAGGGCAGCTTTTTTTATTCGAAGCGCTCATCTTCTTAAGTATGTCAAAGCATGCCATTATACACCTGGATGCATCTAATCCTGTTATACTTTGTTTCAAACTGCCGCTATGAAAGCATATTAAAAACTTTATGTGACTATGCAGTACTCTCATCGCTTAAATATGTGGCATCTACCTACACTTGGCACTTAACAAATTGAAGAAAGTGTGACTTGACATTGACATCTACTGACAAAAGGGAGAAATTCTGAACGATGTCGTCAATTTGTTCTCACCAAAGTGTTTTTCTCAGCATAATAATGGGGTCCATGGGTTATCAGTTAAAAGTCAGGATCTGATTTAAGGAATATTAGCTTAGATTCAACCTGCTATTGACTGACAAAAAACCTCCACCACCACAATAAATAATACATTACAGTACTGTAAAATCATCAGAATTTCTGCAAGGAAAGAATTTTAGCTTATTAGCCAGAAAGAAAGAGTGATTGGGAAATCTTGATTGGGAAGATTAAGAGGCAATAATTATATCAACACCCCTGCTAATTCCTGATGCTTTTGATAGTTTGACAATCCCATTACCAATTCGGTTAATCAACTCGGGAAATTGCAACACTTGTGAAAAGTACCTTTTTTTATGTCAGTGAATCAGTGCTGCTACCTTTTCTTCATCTATCCTTTCTGTGGGAAAGGATAAACGTGGTAAAACATGGGATAACACCTGTCTTTCTGCTCCTCAGCCCTTTCAACACATTTTCTTTACACCTCCATGCTTTTCAGTGAGTGTGTGTGTGTGTGTGTGTGTGTGTGTGTGTGTGTGTGTGTGTGTGTATTACTTCCATGTTATGTTATTCTTCTGTATCAAATCCGCCAAACAACATCTATGACTTGTGTTGGTGAAACTGAGGTAGTGGAGTTTTGGGGTAAGATAAAAGAGAGGATTACCTTCAAGAAAGAACCGACTCCAAATGTCTCTCCTCTGATGATGTATGAGTGCACTAACAATCCTGACACTGTTGCATGTATTTTTTCGTGTGCTCTGGTTGAAATGCAACTAAAGAGGCCATGGCACCAGCAGCTCTTTGAGAGAACCAGCAAGTCTGAATAGTTTGGCTGGACTGAGGGCTTTAATGTTTCATAAAGTAGTTTCAGTTCATATCAATCGTTCTATCCATAAATTATTTAAAATCTACTTGTTTATTGAAATATTTAACACTCTGACTCTGTTCATGCTCCAAGAATCTCTGTCTTTTTTTTTTTTGTCAGTGATAAATTAAAGTGCTTCTGCAAAGCCTGATTAAAATAAGATTACAGATGAACCCAAGATCCCATGACTGAAGTATAAACAGGCCACCACTGGAACGCACTGTGATTGAAAGAATATCATAGAATATTCAGTGACGCTGGATTCCTATGAGAGTATTTTTCAAAATGATGAGGCTTATATGGGTTTTAGAGGACAGCATCTCTCTTTCCTTTGACTGTTAAATCATTTGGACCTCTATGTTTGTGCTGATGTCTGTAAAAGCCTTCGAAAACATATTGAACAGAAACCTAATCTATACTAATAGAAATGAGTGTTCCATTTCCAGTGTTCATAACCGTTATACAGACTATTCTGGGAAACTGTTACAGATGCTCTTTGACTGGACTTTAAAGGGCAGTGTGTGCATGACCAGCAGGGTCTCCTGTAGGATGTCTGCTCTAATGAGGACAGGGCAAGAGGAGCAAAATGCAGTGTGATGCGTGATGTCACCAGTAATGTGCTGGCAGGCTATAACCGCTGGCTGGCTGAACGGCTCTTTACCACCATGTTATTAACACAGATCAGTGTACCTGCCTTACTTCAAACATGATAAGCTTCAGCACACAGCTCTCTTCAGCTCGCTGCGTGAGCTGCCTTTTGCCGTTTGATAGGAAATTCAAATGTTTGCTCAGGCTGCTGCCACCATTCCAGCTAGGTTGCTAGCCTTGGCCAGATTTGGAGGCCATCTCAGAGTTTTCACTGAGCAAAAAAAAAAAAAAAAAAAAAGATTTTCAGCTCCTGAATTATTTTTTCTATTTTAAAAAAGTAGTTTTCTACTTAACAATGTAAGTTAGCAAAGTTCGAAGGCTGGTTCAACCAACTTATTCCGACATACATCTTTGATAAATAGATCTTATTTTATGCAGTATCCCCTTGCTGCCAGTTCTACATGAGAAAATATAATTTTTCATAGTGCATTGATCGCACAAGGCTAGTAGCACATAACCAGCCGATTTGTTGGTTTGACGTAAGTACTGATTTGCATAGAGCCTTTAAAGCATATATACAGTGCGCTGATGACATTAGCAAAATCAAACATTTTAGATCAACAACATCCGTGCCTCCGTTTGTGTAATGGCATCTATCAAGCCTACAGAGGTGTCTCAATGCTCTTTATCAAAGTTTAATTAATCTATGAATAAATGACCAAGCAAAAAGCTTTAGTTGAATTGTTCAAATTCAAATGGAAGGAACAGGAGGACAAAATATGTGAGGAATATCATAAGTAGATCTAAACTCACACAAAGCAGAGTCGTTTTAGTCCATTGGAGCTCTCAGCTGCAGCTCCAACCAGCATTATAGCTCCGTTTTTCCATTTATAGCAAGAATGCAGTAAAAATGGGCAAATATTCAAATGTGTTACAGTTTATAAGGGAGATGCAGATTAATTAATGTATTTTTGAAGTCTGCATATAACTTTATCCCACCATCATGTCTAAAGTACACTTAAGTAAGGTGCAGTCAAAGTCACATAAAAACAGAAAGTAGTCACAAACATGGCTGTCCGCAGTTGATCAATAAGAATAACTTTAAAAAAGGCCTTTCAAACACAATGGCAATCTTTAAGAAATTTAAGGAAGAAAAACTCTCTGAAGAACAATCAATAGCATGACTCCTTTGATTTCGGCATTCTGTTTCAAAGCCTGACCTGGGTCACAACCAAGTCAGCTGTTAAGTGCCCCCTTTGAGAGAGATGAAAGCAGCGCTCACAAAAACAAGTACAGTTTGCTAAGCATGCAATCAAAAGAAATAATAGATTAGCATTAAAATTCTGGGCGCCTTTGTTGTTGCCTTACAGGATCCAGTCCAAATGATTAGAGGGCTGAGAGATGCAGGCAAACTCTTACATGAGATATTGGTGAAGCATTCATGAAGCTTTACTCTGTGTCTGTTCTGCACATCTGAGAGCTCTAATGCAGGCAAAGACAGACTTCTGAGCTGCCTGAACCTAGAATAACACTCTGACAAGGTCCAGTCTAATATGCCAATATTCTCAAATCTCATTTTCAACTGTTTGATGCAATGTATTTTCTGACACTGACATGATGTGGCTTTTTTTTTTTAAAAGGCATACAAAAATGATAATTGGGAGATTCTAAAGATCAGAAGGCAAATATATGCAAGCCAGTTCAATATATGTAAATTGTCTTTGCAGGTCATGTAGCAAAAGCCTGTGTCAAAGAGAAGAAACGTTTAAACAGGCCTTTGTAAATGTGTAAATGAGGCGGAGGCATTAGTCTACAATCCCTTTGAGCTGTGTTCGCCGAGCTGCACCACATCTCTGTTTGTCAATGCTGAGGAATTGCAGCTGTCGAAAATGATGCGGTCCCATTAGTGACGGAATCCAAGCTGAGCCGGAGCCAGACAGAAAGCTGCTGTGGGGACAAGATGATAACAAGGTACTCATTGGAGATGTGAGGGATGGTGTTTGTGCATCGCTTTCTGTGTCTCTCTGATGGGACCATAGCAGAGGAGGAGAGATGGAGGGGTTACGATAAAGACAGAGCAAGAACAGGCGTGGAGAATGAGAAAAGGGGAGTAACGGCTAAAGGGAGAAAAAGGATGAGGGAGATAAGATGAGACAAATAGAGAGGGGAACAATGAGACTAGGGTGCAGGAGCGAGCGGCTGGGAGAGTAATCACGGAAGGTAACACTGAAGCACACAAATCAAAGCGGTGACTGGAATAAGTGAGCAAGTGAGTTCACCAGAGATAGGGAGAAGGAGCAAAACACCCAGTACTATTGTGCCCGGAAAGACTGGCAGGTTTATTCACAGGGAGTTACTGATTGCTCATTCTCCAGATTGTTTCAGCTCATGAGCTAAACGGCGTGCAGAGCAGGATCACGACAAAGACACGCTGCAACTGCAGCAGAGCAGAGCTGCTGCGTTCAGGGACCACGCATGGCGCCGTGCAACAGGAGCAGCCCTGGAGATTTGTCTTTTTTGATTGGCCTGCAGGATGTTGCCTTCATTCATGCAGAAATGAGGAATGTTGAGTGGCTGATGCTAAAATATGAGTTAAAGCAAAGTGTTGTGTCTGCACTGTTTGCAACAGCTTACTTACACATGGAATAAAAAGAAAAACAAATCTATAAGATGAAATAATAAAAACAAAAAACAACATTGCAATTTGGGGATTTAGTCAAGCATAGCGATGATCAGAAATCAGTATGACTTCCAGTTTCCAATCAGCATATTTTTGTCAACTCATACTGTAAAGAAATATAATATAGTGTCCTTAAAGGAGTTGCACAGAGAGTGGGACATGTAAACATGACCAGAACCACTGCATGGCACCCACAGCCCGGTTATTACAGTATTTCTAATTCTTTCGGGGAAAGAACATAATTATCCATTCTGCTTGGTGGAAAAATTGCACTTTATAAAAGAAAACCCGTGTTTCATTTTTACCTGCTAATGAACAAAAGTTATTCTCTCATTTTAATCAACATTCACAGAACCCATTTTTTTACTCCGATAAATGAGTTCAAAACTTTTCTATAAAGAAAACAACTTCAGTAAAGCTCTGATCTTCAGAAGCACTTTAAACCCAGCATTTGTGTACAGCCAGCGTTTACTTGCCAGCAGCCTGCTTCATCCCCAGATTTGCTTGTATATTTTAGTCTGTCCCCATGTTCAGCTAAATTGTTCATAAGCAACGGCAAAGTGTACAACAGGAAGAAAATGGGGGAAAAAAGAAAAGGAAAATGTGAAGGGCCCCTGCCACTACACGAATATACCAACCCATCTGAAGGAAACCTCATTTCAGCACAAAGGACAGCGCACAGTAGCAGTCTGCAGTCTTTGGTTAAAA